GAATGGTTTGGGTTGGAAAGGACCTTGAAGATCATCGAGTTCCAACCCCCCTGCCCTGGGCAGAGGGCCACCTCACCAGCCCAGGTTGCCCAAGGCCACCTCCAGCCTGGCCTTGAACACCTCCAGGGATGGGGCCTCAACAACCTCTCTGGGCAACCTCTTCCAGTGCCTCACCACCCTCAGAGCAGGGCTGCTGACTCTGGGGGACTCCTGTCCCCCTGCTGGGGGTCATGAGGTTGTGGGGGTCCAGCATGGCCGTGATGGGGCTCAGGGTGTCCAGTCTGTGGTGCACCCCTGAGATCACAGCACCCCATGGGGACCCCAGCACCTCTAGGGACTATGGCACCTCCTGCAACCATGGAACCCCTGGGACCACAGCAGGCCCAAGGGGACCCCTACCACCCTTGGGACCCCTGCACTGGGGGAGGGAACCCCAGGAGGACTTCCAGCACCTCTGGGACCCCAGCAGCCCTAGGGGGACCTCAGCACCCATGAGGGCAGCACCACCAGAGCGCCCCGGGCTAAACATGGTTGTCCCCCACCAGCCGGGGGCCCCTGTGCCTCCAGCACCCACACTGGGGGTCCCAATGCCCGGCAGGGTGTCCCTACACCTGGGGAGGGGTCACCACACCTCACCTTGGCCCCCCAAGTCCCCCCAGGTGTCCCCACTCCCAGCCAGGTGTCCCCACGCCAGGCCACCTGCCCTCGTCCCTGCCCAGATGTCCCCATGGGAGTCCACCTGCAACGTGTCCCCACACCTGCTGTACAGCTGGGTGTCCCCACGCCTGCTCAGGTGTCCCTCCACGTGGCCACATACCCCTGCCTTGGTCTGGTGTCCCCAGGGAAGGCCACATGTCCCCAGACCTCCTCCCTCCTTGGCCAGGGGTCCCTAAGTCCTGCCAGGTGTCCATCCCTGCGCTTGGCCACGTGTCCCAACACCTGGCCAGGGGTCCCAAACCCCATGGGAGGCCATGTGTCCCCAGATCTCCAGCCTTCCCAGACAGGTGTCCCCATGCCCACACAGGTATCCTTGTGCCCCCCAGCCTCATGTCCCCATGAAAAACCAAGCGTCCCCATGCCCAGACAGATGTCCCTGTGCCCCCCAGCCTCATGTCCCCATGCCCAGCCTCATGTCCCCACGCCTCCTGCCATGGTGGCCAGGTGTCCCCATGCCTCTAGCCATGACAGCCAGGCGTCCCCATGCCCGGATAA